TCTTAAAAGCATATGATGCTATGATACCAAAGCACAAGCACCGCCCCTGCAAATAGATGAATTAGACTTCTTCAGCATTAAAACTTTTGTCCATCAAAGGATAGTATCAAGAAAGTAAAAACACGAACGGAGACTGGGAGAAAAATACTTGCAAACCATGTATCTGATAAAGGTCTAGTATTCAGAAACCAATTCAACAATAAAAAAGACAAATAACTGAGTTATAAATGGCAAAGGATTTAAATAGACATTTATGTAAAGAAGATTTACAAATAGTCAATAAGCACATGAAAAGATGTTCAACATCATTACTCATCAGCAAAATGCCAGTCAAAACCACAATGAAATACCATTTCACACCCACTAGGATGGCTAGAAAACAAACCCCCGAAACAGAAAATAAGTGTTGGCAAGGTTATGGGGAAATGGAAGCCTCATATATTGCTGGTGGGAATATAAAAGGGTGCAGCTGTTGTGGAAAACCATTTTGAAGTTCTTCAAAAAGCTAAACATAGTTACCATGTGACCCAACAATTCCACTCCTAGGTATACAACCAAGAAAAATGAAATCATACATCAACACAAAAACCTATAAAACAACGTTTGTAGTGGCATTATTCACAGTAGTAGAAACAACTCAAATGTCTATCAAATGATTAATAGGTAAGCAAAATATATGTATGCATAATGAAATACTATTCATTAGTCATAAAAAGGAATGAAGTACTGATACATGCTATAACTAGGATGCACCTTGAAAACATTTTGCCAAGTGAAAGAAGCCAGACACAAAAGGCCACATACTGTACGATTCTATTTATATGAAATACGCAGCAAATCCACAGAGACAGAAAGTGGATTAGTGGTTGCCTAGGGATGGGGGTTTCAAGAGAATGGGAAGTGATTTCTAATGGGTATGAAGTTTCTTTTGGGGGCAATAAAATGTGGAACTAGTGGTAATGATTGCAAAATCCTGTGAATATACTAAAAACCACTGAATTGCATATATATACATATATATCTATATATCTATCTATATATATATATTTTTTTTTTGAGATGGAGTTTCGCTCTTGTTGCCCAGGCTGGAGTGCAATGGCTCGATCTCAGCTCACTGCAACCTCTGCCTCCTGGGTTCAAGTGATTCTCCTGCCTCAGCCACCTGAGTAGCTGGGATTACAGGCACATGCCATCATGCCCAGCTAATTTTGTATTTTTAGTAGAGGTGGGGTTTCTCCATGTTGGTCAGGTTGGTCTCGAACTCCCGACCTCAGGTGATCTGCCCGCCTTGGCCTCCCAAAGTGCTGGGATTACAGGCATGAGCCACTGTGCCAGGCTGAGCTGTATATTTTAGAATAATGACTTTTATAGTATATGAATTCTATCCCAATTAAAAAGAAAAAAAAGACACAACAACTAAATGCCACGAGGAATCCTGGATTGGATCCTGTTCAGTAAAATGGCATTAAAAGAAAACAACAACAACATGGTTCTGAGAAAAACCCAGTGTAAAATCTATAACATTTACATAACTCAAAAATAAATGCCAACACACAACAAAAATGTATTTTAAAAGACGTACAAATAAAATGCAGTACATAAAACATACTAGAATGTTTGCCAATGGGAGCAGTGAGAGAAATGAGAATGGAAAATGGAGACAAATGGGAATAAACAGATAAATAAACTGAAAACAAAACAAAAGTATTGCAACACTACCAGAATCATTCCAATAGGAGTGCTTGGTAGCCTTTGGTAAGTCATGTTCACTCTTAAAATTAACAAGACTTGACAAAAAATTAGAAATTAATTTTGAAAAATTATATATATATATTTTTACAGTAAGCAGGAACTATCAGACATAGTAAATTTATGTTCCATATTTTAAAACAAGATACCATGGCGGAGGAAGAGGCGGTAGTGTTGTGGGGAATGCCATATGATAGAGAACAGTCTCAAGTCCTGGCTACAGTTTGGAAGTCTTTTATGAAATATGACACTTGCCTTACAATTTCCTTGGCGACATAGGCACAAATATTAAACAGCATCTAGCAAAGGGGGATAAAAAGGATGGAGGGACCAAGAGTTGTTCTTTTTCTAGGTAACTGTCTTTTACCTGTTAACGGGGAACGGCTGACAGAGAGAAGGGGAGAAGTACCAGATGGGAAGCTCTGCTGCCCTGAGGTATTGATCTGAATGTGTGGTTTCTGAAAATAGCTTTAGAGTTATAAATATTCATTTGACTCTTTAGTGCAGTTGATAGATTTTATACTGAATTTTATGAGAAACCTGGAAGGCTTACAAACTCCATGAATGAAATCTTTATAGACAGAAGGAAGATTTTCTGGTTTTTCCTAAGAAAAATAAGGGATTCTGAATGTTTTCATAGTTTAAAAAAACCTAGAGTATAATAAAATAATGTGTGATCACTGCAATGTGATTTAACATATAAAATGTGACTATTTTAAGAGGCTGTGGCTGCATATGAAATATACTTTAAGTATATATCTGCTAGGGAGCTTCCCTCCACCCTTCTCTCTTTTCTCTGAACACGAACTGACGTTATACAGGAAATCTCAAGTGTCAGTCCACAAGTGTTTGGGCCAGAATGTGAAAGGGAACTTTCATTCTAAGAAAAATTATGAACAATCTTGGATAATCTCTCAGAGAAAACACCATCAACAGTAAACAGTAATTTTTGGGGAAAAGTTACTGGAGAAAGAAGTAGTTTTTTTTCTAACAATCTATCCCAAGGCTACCCAAAGTGTGGTTCACAGACGAGATACATAGATATTGAGAGTAAGCATTTAGAACATTTTTTAACCACAGGCAATTCATCTAACTGCTCTGTGACTCAGTCTCCTCATCTACGAGAATTGGAAAACCATAGTGCCTGCCTAGGATTATTGTATTAGTTAATATACATAAAGCATTTAGGACAGTGTCTGTCACATAGTACACCCTTATTAAATACTATTATTATTTCCTTGGGAAGTGAGATTTAAACAGAGACCTGAATGAGGGAGCCAGTCATGTAGGTAAAATAATGATACTAGATGAGCACCCTAGGGTATTTATGTAGTTTCTGTATATTTTCACCTTTAACCCCGATGATGATCCTAAAATAGATATTACTACTCCAATTCTACAGTTAAAAAAGTGAAGATTAGAAATATCAAGTAGCTTTTTTGTCATATAACTAGCTAATAGATATCTGTGACCTTTGTCAAAAGCCTTACTTCTTATTGGGTTTAAATCGCCTCTGCTTAGGTAATGGGATAGAAGGCCTCAGAACTAAAATCTCCTAACTTTTACTTTGTTCACTCATTCGTTTACTCATCTTTCATTCAAAACGTATTTGCTGGCAAGGCACAGTGGCTCACCCCTGTAATATGAGCACTGTGGGAGGCTGAGGCAGGAAGATCGCTTGAGCCCAGGAGTTCGAGACCAGACTAGGCAACACAGTGCGACCCCATCTCAAAAAAAAAAAAAGAAATTAAAAATGATGTAGTCCTAGCTACTCAGGATACTGAGGTAAGAGGATCACTTGAGCCCAGGAGACTGAAACTGCAGTGAGCCACGACTGTGCTACTCTGCACTCTAGCCTGGGCAACAGAGTGAGACCCTGTCTCAAAAAAAAAAAAAAAAAAAAAATGCTGAGCATCTAGTATCATAGTCAACCAATATGTTTTTTGTTTACAAAGAGCAGACCATTTAAACAGGGATATAGTTATATAAGAATGATGTCCAATGAAGTGCAGAGACAGGAGGTGCCATGGGAGTTGGGGTCAGGCGGAGGCCATGTACACAGAGGCCAGTGAGGCCCAGCTCAGAGAGGGTGTGGAGAGAATACTGAGAAGTACATTTAAAAGGCAGGCTGAGAGCAAAATCACAGAACACTTTCTGGGCAGAGAGTGGGGAAGCAGTTGAGCTTCTACAAGGGATTATTTTAAAAAAGAATCAGCAGAGTCTGAGAAGAGGGTAGGAACGGAATGGAGAAGGGAAAGAACAAAGGCAGGGATGTCACAGCATCTTGGAATCCTGCCCAGAATTCGACAGGACCTAAGGGAGCAGTAAAGTCAATTCAGGTCCACGCAGAAATACCCCCTACAGCATCTTGAACAGATTTATGTAATACCTTAGAAATAAATGGATGAGAGTGGTGTGGTAGGAACAGAAACAAAAGGTAGAACCGGGAAGTATAAAAGACTTGGAAACCAACTAGATCAGAGGGTCATGGGGGAAAATGGAACATGAATACACATTATAGTATGAAGAATTTTAACATCAAAAACTGACCCTTCATAATTCTGTTTTTGGCTTCTTGTTTTGCAAAATCAGGAAAAATGAGAGCATTACATAGTGGTTATGTTGTAATTCACAAAGAATATGAACTGGTTAAAGATGGTTCCTAATTAGAAATTCTTAATGATCAAAAGGCAGCTTTACAGCAAGGCAAGACATTAAACATGTTTGTAAGACTCCAGGGCTGCCAATATGTGTTGTATGCCCCACTTACTAGCCATTCCCACACACTCTTTTACCCTGTTTACAAAGCGGCTGCCCAGAACAAAGCCTTGTCCCCAAGGAAAGGCACACGGTGGCATCGGCCTGACTAAAAGACTTGATATCAACAGTGACTTTCTTTGAACTGTTTAAAGGATTTTCTCTCACTCAAGCCAAGACTGAAGACATTATTTTAAGAAAATAAGATCTGAAAAGTATTACCAGTCTCTTTCACTTCTGGGTGCTTGCTTCTCTAGCACAGAAATAAATGGTCCACACTCACTAGCTGGATTATTTTTCTTGAGCTGCTGATAATTTTATAATAAGTTGTCTTTTAAGTTCATTAAATGGAAAAGGCGAAGAATGAGACTCCAGCGTGCATACACAGTTCTATCCCTGCAGTGATTCTGGCAGTGCTGGAGGAGGCCACTGCCTCCCACAGGTTTTGCGCCTCTCAGATCAGCTTGGGGCAGGCGGGTCTACTGGCTCCTTACCTTCTTCAGCAATGACCGTTAGTGTGACGGTGACACCAGCATCTTTGATCAGCTGAACAATGTTATCATGAGACAGTTCAACAATGGACTGCCCATTCACTGCAGAGATATGATCTCCAACTTTCAGTTTTCCACAGCGGTCAGCTGGACTTCCTTCTATGACTCGACCAATTTTATGAGGAATAACTATGGGAAAAAAAACCCAAAAAACAAAAAACCAGGTTTTTCAATTATTTAAGATTTCTGCTAGTGTTAGATTTATAATCATCATCATTTAAAAATTCAACATAACGTCAAAGAAAAATATTTAAAAACATAACAGCAAAGTACCACACGTCATCATCCCATCCAAACGCAAGTATTTTCGTACTTCTCACTTTTGCCCACATACATACTCTTTACACAGTTGTAATCATAGTATATAAACCTCTTTGCTATCTTCTACCTACCAGAAACCTTGTTCTAATTTTTACATTATCATCCTAACTGTTCTGTTTAAGAGTTATTAATCTCGCTGATACCACCTGACTGATCAGATGTCTCATTGTTTATTGTTGATCATTTAAGCTGCATGAAGTTTTTAGCTATTTTAAAAACTGCTACGATAAGATAATCTTTGCTTCTGTTAAAGGGGCACTTGCTCCCATAAGGAATCTTGTAAATAAATGCAGGTCAAACTCAGGTTTAGCACTCAGTAGTTATTGGTCAGAAATTCAGGTACAGTGAAATGACTGACAATTAAAATGAATCATACTTAATTCCACAGGTAAATTAATTCCTCTTATTTATGCCTTTGGTTCTTTTTAAAATTTGAAAAGCTGAGTGGAATTAGAACATTAAATGTTAAGTGTTAAGACTACTTGACTCATGGATCAAATTCTAAACCAAATACACAAAGCTGAGTCTCATACAATTGCAAAGATGCTCTGTGCAGCTCTACTGTATCTCTAGCTTATAATGCTAAGGGCCTTCCTGGACTAACTATTAAGACATTCTGCTATAATTGTAGCTTGAAATGAGTTCTCATATATTCAGGAAATCTTGTCAAACAAAATATTTTCCACCATGCAACAGGCAGCATTTGTATTAGGAAACAAATGTTCCTTCTGTGTTCTCTGAGAATTTCCTAGCCTAGGTCAGTCAACTTTAAACTTATCAGATATGTGGGCTCCTGCTGACTACTGACTGATTTGAATAGGGATACTTCATATTTTTGAATGGCACTGTGAATGATGTTTAATTTCCATAGTAAAACCCGCTCCTTACTAGTATGTCTGAATCATATCTAGGAGTATGTAAGGGACATTTTAATAGACCTTCGTTTGGACTAGAAAAGTTATTCTTGATGATAATTTATTTCCCTACAGACAGTGCCCTCTCTTCTAGGAATACACAGTGGGAGATTTTATCTTAAAATAGAGTAAGTCAGTGTTGGAAGGAAGTGCCTTTTAGCTCTGAATTATGTCAAGCACTTATTATTCTATTTTCCTTACAAACAATGTAATTAGAGAAATGCCAGTGCAGAAAGGGCCATGTCGTATGCCAGGCATTATGAGTTAATTCACTAATTCTACAACAGGTGGCACACCAGAAACATATGGCAGGTCATATGGTGGCCCTGTGGTGACCTTCTAAATCAATATCTCAGTTATTCTCCTTTTTACAAAAGATTTACTTAAACATAGTGCTCTTTCTAGATCCCCTGAGAAGAAAATCATTCAGTTCCTTGGCTCACTAAAAGGAGTTTGTTCAGACTTGGGAAAGCATTAAATAGAATTAATCTCTGAAATCTTAGTGGTCCCCTTTCTCAGCCTGTGAGCAATGTGGTAAAAAGAATTGGTGCATGGTGGTATACAACTTCCTAAAGGGCTGGTTATCTGGATCAGGGAAGGTAAAAGTAGTCAGATTGTTACTGTCTTAGTATTTATAGCAGTATCACTAGAACAGTTAAAAATAGCAAACAGACCAGTAGAAAGGTAACTTCTGAACATTTTCTAAACGGACTGGGAAACTGTTCAAGGTAACCCCTTTGAGTTCACATAGCTAGGGAAAAGCCTTCAGTCCTGCCTGATTTTTGTTGATACACAAAGTCTACAGGCATTTGCCATAAAGCCAACTTATCCATCTTCATTCATCTTTGGCCTAAATCTGTCTCATAGCCTGGCTTGTCCAGATCCTGAGATCACTTTAGTGCTCTTAAAACATTTCTTTTCAGGAAAACAAAGAACAGTAACTGGAAATGTTCCCTTTTCAAAGAAATCCTTTGCAACCGGAACTGAAAACTATATGATAAGAAGGAATAACACTAAAAGCTCTGAAGTACTGGTAAAGCAAAAACTAGCCACGTCTTTTTAATCTTAAATAGAGGCCTTTTCTAAATACTCCATTCATTCAGCACTTAGACAAATTCTGAGGATGCTGGACCTGGATCCCTGATCTTTGAAAAAGTCAACAGTAGAGAAACTCAGAATTCCATAACTGGTACCACAGATGCTACTAGGAACTCTTCTTGAGACATACGTCATCAGAAAATACCTGAGACAAGGTCCATAAAGAATGATCTGGCCAGGCACAGTGGCTCACGCCTATAATCCCAGCACTCTGGGAGGCCAAGGTGGGTGGATCACCTGAGGTCGGGAGTTCGAGACCAGCCTGGCCAACATGGCAAAACCCTGTCTCTACTAAAAATACAAAAAACATTAGCCAGGTGTGTTGGCACATGCCTGTAATCCCAGCTAATCGAGAGGCTAACGCATGAGAATCACTTGAACCTGGGAGGCAGAGGTTGCAGTGAACCGAGATCGCGCCACTCCACTCCAGCCTGGGAAACAGAGAAAGACTGTCTCAAAGAAAAAAAAAAAAAAAAAGATCTATTCTGACAGACAGGTTTCCTGCCTTTCCACCTGTGCTAACTCCTTTCTGAACCAAACCTTCTCTATCATACAGTTTGCAGCAAGTATTCAGTCTCTGTGAGTGAAAGCTCCTCATTTGAGCTTTTCCCTGAGAATGTTAGAAAATAAAATTCTAACAAGAATACTCTCAGGCCTCAACATTTGATGAGATTATTAACGAGCATTTCAGTGAAATTATCAATTCTGGTTTTACACTAGGACTGAAAATCTCAAGTACTTTACATAAAATTCATCAACAACCTGAGCCTAATTTACCATTCAGCCTGATAATTAATGAGCTGCAATTACTCATTTCCTGCTACATGTGAGCTGCTGCCTCAATCTTACATTTTAATTGGCTTTCTTTCCTATCTCATTATTAAGTATTGACGAACTTTTAAAAGTTTTTTAAAAGAAAAATTAAGAGATAGTTACAATTTTCTAAATAATAATGATGATGATAGCAACGGCAGCAGAAGCTACAACAAGCGACAGCAGCTAACATTTACTGAAGGCCTTGGCTGAGGGCTTCCCATACGCTGTCTCCTTTAATCCTCACATTCGTGAGACAGGGAGTGTCTCTATCATCCTCATTTTATGGAAGAAACTGGAGCTCTTGGAGGGAAAATAAGTTGCCCAAGATCAGACAGCTATTAAAAGATATAAGCAGGACTTGAATCCAAGTTTGTTGGATTACAAAACCCAACCCTTAATGACACTATCTTATACAGAGATGAAGTAGCTCCATAGGTAAAACCATCAAAATAGTAAAAAATGATTGAAACAAGGAAATATAAAACTAAAGATTTTTAAATTTTTAAAAATTTACCAATAAAATATATACAAATAAAAATACTTAATTAAATTTTAATACTTAATTACATTTAATACTTAATTAAATTTTAATATTATTAAAATTTAATATAACAAATTTTAAATATAAACAAATGTAAAAATATGCTCAAACATATTTAAGCAATGAAACTTATTTTACTGAATTTCTCTATATAGGTTAGTTTTATGGTGAACATCAGACTCTCCCCAAATTTCTGTAGTGCTAGAAAGGGAATACCTTCAATACAGAAAGTGGTTAGCATCTATCTACTAGAGTAATACTCTTTCACTGTTTTTGTTAATCTGAATGCCTGGGGTTATCATATGTTACGAGAATGACAATATCATTATCCTAAATGGTTATCTGTTTTTAGAAACACTGATTCCAATGACATAACATGAAAACCACCTAAAAGCTGCTTTCCTTTCATTTTTCTGACACAGGCCATATTATCATCCTCACAGCATCAGTGACAGTTCCAGTTCCAAGTGTTTCCATGGCAACTGCTTTGGGAAAATGGAAACTAGTATCAGTGAGCAGCGACCTAATACTATAGCAATAACTCATCCATGTCATGGACTCTTTTTCCCTTATACACTTCCATTAATTTTAGCAAGATTTTTGCAAATTGCTTTGGCTCACAACACTTTCCTAAAACTGTTTTCTTTTTTTTAAACTAAGGTTTTAGCAACCACTTGGTCTAAAAGGATCTCACTATTCAAAATATAATCAAACTGACTTGTAAAGGCAAGGGCACATTTTCATGTAGTCAGAGATTTTTATTATTTGACTTGGGGCTGGGTTCTTATATTCAACTGGATTTTATAATTATATTAAAAATTATTATTTTATAGAAACATCAAGACAAATATTTCATTTGCTGAATCGTAACAGCCCTGAATATATCAGATGTAATTCCTCCTTTGATCATGGAACGGATATAAATACATTCATCTTCTGGATTAGAATATTCTGTTAAATTCGGTTTAAGATATTTAGATTCATTTTCTAATTGTTGACAAAATTTTTACCTTTCAATGAAACATTTATAAAAAGTATGCCTCTTATTCACAAGGGTAATTTATAGCTGGACTACAGCACTTATTATTAAATAATAACATTAAATAAAGACATATTTGGGTCAAGATTTTTCTATTAATCTGCTTCGCTTGTTCTCAATTGCTTCTAGTCTTTAATTCTTTTCTATATACATGATTAATCCTAATTTTCAAAACCTATGCCCCCATTTTTTTATTTTTTATTTTTATTATACTTTAAGTTCTAGGGTCCATGTGCACAACATGTAGGTTTGTTACACACGTATACATGTGCCATGTTGGTGTGCTACAGCCATTAACTCGTTATTTACATTAGGTATATCTCCTAATGCTATCCCTCCCCCCTCCCCCCACCTCACAACAGGCCCCGGTGTGTCATGTTCCCCTCTTCCTGTGTCCAAGTGTTCTCATTGTTCAATTCCCATCTATGAGTGAGAACAAGAGCCCCCATTTTTTTAAAAGTCAGCATTATACCTTTCATTAAATCCATATCTATTACATATTATCTTCAGTATAACCTTGATGCAAATGGAGCTACTGAGACTTAGTAAATATTTTAAACAATGTGAGATAATAGATAAACCTGAAGCCTAGAAGGTTTGGTTCAGATTACCTAATTTTGAAAATAAGGAAAGTATTCACCATTCTTAAAAAGATAAGTACCTAAGGCATTTTATAAGTAGCTCCTAATTATTTCATAAACTCCAGTGGGAGCCTCAGAAAACTGAACTTGCAGGCAGAGACAATAAGATACAATATCCCTTACCTCCTGGAGGTGGTTTGTTTTTGGAGGTGAGGATGACAAAGCCAAATCCTTCATTTTCTTTTCGTTGCAAGACAACATCATAGGGCTCCTGGGGTGCAGGCCTGGCTGGGACCTCTGCCCGGTTCAGGCGGGGAGATCCATTCTGTGTTGAAATGAAAGCCTGAGAGCTGTCGTCCTCAGGTTGTTTTTCTATAATAAACATGATCAGTTTTGATATTTCTGGAACATCATAATTTCTGGTGACTAAAGTGTTTTTATGCTAAGCCCCTCACAGAAAAATTCAGTTTCTAATAACATGAAGAATAGAAAAGCAGCCCCACATGTGAGCTTCGGGTGTAATCTGAGTGCAGATTTAGGCAACAGCAGTCCATCCGACTTTCCAGATACTCAGAGTGGATTACTGAAAAATACATACAATCTCAAGTTGTCGTTTTTCTTCCCCTCCACCCGCCGAGATGCAGTCTTGCTCTGTCACCCAGGCTGGAGTGCAGTGGCGTGATCTCGGCTCACTGCAACCTCTGCCTCCGGGGTTCAAGCAATTCTCCTGCCTCAGCCTTCTGAGTAGGTGGGATTACAGGTGCCCACTATCATGTATGGCTAAGTTTTGTTATTTTTAGCAGAGATGGGGTGTCACCATATTGTCCAGGCTGGTCTTGAACTCCTGACCTTGTGATCTCATTTTAAAGGAAGCTTTTAAAAGCTTCTGTGAGATTTGATAGTAAAAAATTCTTCTTAAAACTGTTTTAGTTCCATCAAGGTTTATAACATGGACCAATAATTTTAACGAAACACATAATGAGGAATGACACAATGAACTTCCTTTTAAAATCAATTATAAATATAATTTAGTTCAGTGACTGATACTCATTGATGTCTGTCTTAGAGGTTAAAGCATCAGGGCAGAAATGTTGCCCCATTGTAACAGTTTGCTACCTGTACAGGATTTGTCTCATATGATGTGTTTTGCAATTGCAGTTTCCTAAGTGATGATATAAGATGAGTTCATCATTAGCAGTTCTCAGCCTTCCATCTCCCCAACCCCCACCCCCCAACTTGCTGGGACACATAACAAGCTGTCCACATGAACAGCAAACACTTCTAGGCATAGGCAGGGTCATATGAAATTCCTGATAAATGGCCAATTAACCTACACCTTTTTCTGCTCTTTTATCAGAACTTGAGAATGGCACAAAGTCCTAACTGATTTTTTAAAAAGGGCATTTTTTTTTTGCCATAATTTGGTACAAACCATCGTTAATAATAACCACAACACACTGCAGTCATGTACATATTTATAAGGTCTCTTTTTGGCTGAAAATTCACATGGTTTTAATAATATGTTTTTTTCTTTTTTCTTTTTTTTTCAAAATGCATGGTTAGAATGTATTAGCTAAAATGTCTCCAACAATACCACACTACTATGAAACTTCTTCATGATTCTTTCCAGGGAAGAGCCAATTTGTAGGTTGTATAACATCACAATTTTACTGTAAGTAGTTACATTTGGCTCCAACACAACCAAATTTAGGCAGTACTGCGTTACAAAATCTGTATGCATCTCTAAAAGGCTGGTATTTACCAAAGGAGGCAGGCGTTTACTTTGAATGTTGCAATAACAAATACAGTGCCTCATTTTTGAGAGTGAGGTAAATATTCATCCAATTAACAATTTATTAATGTCCACTTTGTACCAGACAGGCACTTTTCTAGGTGCTGAGGATACAGGAGATAACTAAACAAATAAAAAATCATAGCTTCATGAGGCTTATATTCTTGTGCTACAGAGTTGTATTTTTCTAATTTTAAAGTGGCAAGAATTCATTTATAAGATTTCCTAATTATTCATAAAGCTACTGATGAGAAACTATAAGAGATATTCATATCCTAATGTTATAGTTTAAACCCTGATCTCTGAATTAAACTGCAAGTTTTAATCCAGGCCCTACCTCTTACCAGTTATTTGTTTCTCAACCTTTCTCTGAGTAGTCATAGAACTAGACAATGACCTCATAGTGTTGTGACGATTAAATAAAATAATTCATGCGTCTATGACATAGTAAGCACTCAATAAATGTTAAATTATACTAAAACTTCCCAAGTAGAAACATCCCACTTTCCCTTAGTAGTTCAGATTTCATTGGGATCCAAAAATCTTTGTACATTCAGCTAGTGGGATATCTTGGTATAACTAAATAACTTTTTATTTGCTATTAAAAAAAAAAAATTTAGGCCAGGCATGGTGGCTCATGCCTGTAATTCCAGCACTTTGGGAGGCTGAGACAGGCGGATCATTTGAAGTCAAGAGTTCGAGACCAGCCTAGCCAATGTGGTAAAACCCCATCTCTGCTAAAAATACAAAAATTAGCCATGTGGTGGTATGCTACTCAGGAGGCTGAGGCAGGAGAATTGCTTGAACCTGGGAGGTGGAGGCTGCAGTGAGCTGAGCTCATACCACTGCACTCTAGCCTGGGTGACAGAGTGAGACTCTGCCTCAACAAAACAAAACAAAACAAAACAAAACAAAACAAAACAAAACCGGATTTAAACCAATACTCCCACCTATAATACCACATTTGCGAAATGCATCAATATATGAAAATAATCTTAATATAGAAACCCAAAATGTATTTTTTTATAGTAGTATTATTTCTGAATCCTTTTGTCTTTGCATGGCCTTCCACAGTGAGGCCTGGATCACATCAAATGAGTTATCTCAGATACTACTGAATGTAATAAAATAACAAAACTACACAAGAGGTAGATTAGTATCTTTGTTTCTTTTTTAACTTTCCAGAGCAGGAACAAGTTCACATACCTCCATAGAAGATCTTTCGTCTGACAGTTAGTAACACATGGCCATTTCGAGCAGCAGTCGTCATGAGGTCCAAGACTTGTTTGTGTGATTTCCCTTTAACAGGAATTCCATCAATGCACATTAGTTCATCAGCTGCACGGAGCCGACCATCTTTCTCAGCTGCTCCCAGGGGAATAATAGCCCCGATATATATCTGATAAGATAACAAAGTATAGTTTGGTCCACAGCGTAAAGTTTAGCTGAAGAGTTAAGGGATTCCTAACTTAGCATTGTGCAAACCAACAGATTTTTGCAGTTCAACTATGAAAACAGTCATATTCTAGAAAGGTATTATCCGGGAAAGTGCCCATTCTCCAAAACGGCACTTCAAATAACCACACTGTATTATGTAATCCCTTATAGATCCTCAGGGCTGTGTACAAAGGAAATAGAAAATACGAAGTTGTTCAATAACTCAAAATGCACCACCATTATCCCCATCATTACAATGAAACAAAACACTAAACTCAGAAAATATAAATCTGCATAGTAGCTATTAAAAGTCTGTTCAATGTCATCAGGCAAGATTTTCTACATACTGTTCACAGCAACTGAGATCATTCTCAATGGTACTCCCATCACATAAGACTAACAGTACAAATTCAATATACACAGCACAGAGACATTTCTTCTTTCTAAATCTCAATGGGAACAGAGTGGCCTGAAGCTCACTTGTATCCAAGTGAACAAATCTGGTTCACTTTGCTCACCAGCATTAGAATCCTATTAATTAGGCAATTCTGAATGTTTGGGCTAGTTTCAGAGCTGCTAAAATCTGACATTCAAGAGAAAAGAAAGGTTTCTTCTAAGTTGTTTGAGACAAATTCTTAAAATGTCTAAGTGAACATTATGAGTATCAACAAAATAGGAAGCAACAAAACAAAAATACAAATACCACCAAGAACAATTAAAGTATCTACTATTTGTTCTACATAGGGCAACCTGCCTTAAGCTTTATGTGTCTCCAATGACTGTTGTAACTGTAACCAATATGACCAATTAGAACAAATTTATACTACATAAATCAAATGTTCTATTCAGAAATAAGAAGCCCGTAATTTTTAAAGATTATTGTTCTTCACCTAACTTCCAACCATAATATAGTCTTTTTTGATATTATATAAAAGAAAATGCAAATATGTTCTTAAAAATTCTATAGAACACATTACTTCTTTGTTATTCAAACCAAGAGCAAAACTTAGAAACAAAACCCACTACATTTGTTCTCTAAAACAAGTTTATGTGAGTATCATATGTAAACAAAATCCTAGACTTCAAATGCTTTGCAAATATAACCCTTATGCCTCTGGACAAAAATATTAATTATTTTATATTCCTCTAGTTTCAAAGTAACAGATGAAATGACACGCAAAGTACTGAGCATGAAAATGCCAACCTATTAATAAAATGAGGTGAAACAATATACACAGGCTCATGCCAACCATTTATGGAACATTCAGCAGAAGTAATAGTGGGAAGGAGGACATGGGATTATAGGTTTCTTAGAGAAGGAAAATGTCTTAGACTCTGTTTAATGAGGGCAAAGGAAAATACAAACTTAAAATAAGCTTTATGTAGTTATTCACACAGAGAAGTAAATAAATTAATCACTGTCTAATTTGCAGCTGACATACTCAGTTTTTACTCACAGTTTTTAGCCTCAGCTACACCCCAATAACTGAGGGACTATGATACTAATAGAAATGCAGTTCTTCCTCATACTAATGAAACTGTTAGAGGAAAAAAAAAACTTAAAACACAAAACAAAACACACCATAATCCACCAAATCACCACTCAAAACGTTTGAACAGGAAACAGCCATGTTCCAAAGAAGTGACACTTACAGACTGGTCAGGTCCATCTCCTCCTAGCACCCTGAAGCCAAACCCTGACTCTTGTTTTCGAAGAAAAACATCCAAATCTTTGGTATTTGGTGCTAAGGAAAATCAGAAAATATAAATATTTTGATTTATTTTAAAAGGACTAAAACAAAACAAAGTTCAATATTTAGTAGGACATTATAGAGTAAGACAATAAACTATAATCTCAGAACTTTTTAATATGTGAAAATTTGCACAGGAGTGTAACACACACACAATTCAACTATAAATCCTTGTTTTGAGCTCTAAGCAAAACTGTATCAAGACTGTTTAGAAGCATTTACTCTCACTTACATATACTCAGTATTACACTGTCATTAACTTCTAATGCTGTCCAATCAATATAACAACGTTGAATTCAGAATGATCAAACTTGAGTTTGATATTTGACAGGTGCAAATGACCTAACTTAACACTTGGGTAAGGTACATTAAATCCTAGGAAAAGAGTGCCTATAAAATACCTTATTCCTGCTCTCAAGCTGATACCTTTCTCTCAGAAAAGTATTCCATATGAACTACTTACCTAGCCTGGTTTTGCAAAATGATAGCATTTTAAATGAAAATAATTAAGAACTAACATTTATTATTAGCCCCGTTTTCTAGGTGGGAAAACAGGGTCTAAGTAAGTTGGCCATTGTCATACAGCAAGTGGTGAAGCTAAGATTTAAATCCAGGTTGATTTCCAGGGTCTAATCTCCTAACCCATACTATCCTACTCTGAAAGGGTAGGTTGTATTCCTTAGAATATTAAACAGGAGGATTGCTTGAACCTGGGAGGCGGAGGTTGCAGTGAACCGAGATAGTGCCACTGCATTCCAGCTTGGGCAACAGAGCGAGACTCCATCTCAAAAAAAAAAAAAAAGAATATTAAGTCACAAAAATCTATTTCATGACTAAAATTTTTTCGCTGGGAAAATATTAATGTTATTTATAGGTAAGAAGTATTTACTATAAAGAGAAAAGAAATAAACATGTCAGGGAACTATATAAAAAGTGAGATTAGTCAATTCTTGATAATATTCTATAGAAGCAATATCTTTTGATATATACTTCCTATTAAAATTGTAGAACTTTAGAGATTAAAAGAGTCCACTTTGGGAAGCCGAGGCGGGTGGATCACGAGGTTAAGAGTTTAAGACCAGCTTGACCAACATGGTGAAACCCCGTCTCTACTAAAAATGCAAAAATTAGCCAGGCGGGGTGGCGTACACCTGTAGTCCCAGCTACTCGGGAGGCTGAGGTAGGAGAATTGCTTGAATCTAGGAGGCAGAGGTTGCAGTGAGCCAACTCCAGTTGCCACTCCAGCTCCGGGTGACAGAGCAAGACTCTGTCTCGGGAAAAAAAAAAAGAGTCATGAGTTCAACTCACTTATTTTATGGGTGAAGCCTGATGGGACTGCAGAGTTTATACCAGTATTAACAATGTATCAGGCTATGAATGGAAAGTATGAAGAAAGGGATTCTACATAGTTATGCTAACTGAAATGATTGCTTTGCTATGCATACAACTGGTTTTCATCTTTCTGAATATGGATTGGTATTATCAAGATGTAGTTCTGCAATTAATTAAATAAGCATTAAGTCAATACACATATATTCCACTTGTACATATCTTTTCCAAAGTAGATTTACGTCTATTTCTAAGAACAAACAAATTTAAAAAAATTATACCTACTTAAATCTGCAATTTTACTTTGGAAAAGATGTATCATTAGTAAGTGAATTAGTAGGAACATGCATGAATTTCTGCCTTATGTGGTCTCTCTTTTTATCTCTCAGCTGTACTCCTTTAAGGAGTCAATTCTTTAGTTTCCTCTTCAAATTGCACACTCTTCCTCAAATTGCATTCACCTCTGATTCATCCTTCATAGTCCTGCCAGAGAAACCTTTCTAAAACACAAAACTATGTCTTCCTTACAGTTAAAGGCATTCTGTGGTTCTCTGTTATTTGTATGACCAACTCCAGCTCCCCTTGAGGGGCATAACTGGCCTTTCTCAATCTGTTCCTACTTCTCCTCTGTGACTTTCCTTGCCAACTGCACCCAGCGAAAGTGAATTACTTGCAGAACCCAAGTCATGCAAGACCAGTGTGCACATGCTATTCCTTCTGTCTTTCCCTTTTATCTTCCTGATAGACACTTTTTCATCCCTGATGACTTAGCTTTGCTTCTAGTATGAAGCTTTTCCTGACACTTCCTACTGCCCACGCTGATAAAACTGAGTATTCCTTCTTTGGATCCCAATTTATCCATTTCATCTTTCTATCACTGTACCTGTTAGGCTTATTACGTGTACTTATTTGTATACTATTTGATTACATATTTGCCTTTTTCCATTTAGTTCTAATAATATTTTTGGGTGCAGGTCCTATGTAACCTATTTATCTCTGTATTCTAGTTACCTAGTATGGCATCTGGTAGATAACTAGCACTTAAAACATGATTTTGAAAAAAATGAATGTGTGAATGTTGAATATACATGGAAGAAGTCCAGAGTTCTATTAAAATGGTAATGAAGGAATAACTTTTCAATATGCTTCTGAAAGATGGGAAGGCCCTAGTCTAAAATAAATCCAAATTTATCTTGTTACATGCTTTCCTGAAGTATTCCACAACTACTTACGTTTATCTTCATATAAAGTCTTAGATTTCAGGTAGACCTCAGAAGGATCCAATTTTGGGGATCCTGACCTGATAATGCTGGGTGGAAAAGGCATAGGCTGAGGAACAGGCTCATTTATGGCCTCCAAACTTCCTGAATTTTCCTTTTTATCTGTTTTCTGAAATGGAAAAGGGCCTTACTTAGTATTTTTTAAAAATCAGATGGTTGATTAATTCATAAAACTGATATCTGAAATGGATATGTCAACTGATTATAGTTGTAAAGGTGGCAGGATCAAAGACACAGCAAATTTACAGTTATAGGAATTCATTTTCATAGCAAGGTGTATTTGAAATGTATTTAACTTAAATTAGAAAAAAGTTTACAGTAATATCAACTGAAGAGCCTTAGTTAGTCCTATGTTTAAACAATTTTGCCCTTTTCTCCACCACCAAGACACAAATTGACTTTGAGATGAAGATAAATAAAAATACAACACAATACGGCACTTCTAAGTAAAGTAGGAAGAAGATTCAGAGCATATCTTCATAAAATTCTTGGCCCGGCCCACTTCCCATTCACTGAGTTTAATTTCTAAGGAAGATGTTTAAGATAATACTCTTTCTAAGAAAACAGGAGAGGTTAACTCTAATTTAGGTTATAAAGATGGCACTGTGAAAACCCTGCCTGGCCAATTCATACATATTAAGAGAAAATGTACCATGCAAGACAATTAGATAAGGGAAAACACAGTAGCATATTTTGATATTTTTCCTATTCAGATAGCACTTTTCCAAGATAATAGTCAAGCAAAATGACTTATTTAATAAAATGTTAACAATGAAATCCAATAAATAGCCCAAGGAATATGGTTTTGAGACCAGTTTGTTTTCCTGGATTATTGTTAGGAGAGGGAGATTATGGATGTTTGTGATCATTAACAATGACTAGAATGCAGGGGCACCGGCTTGTCAGGGAGTAATCAAGGCTCAGCCACTACAAAGTGTTGGCCTAGAGGGGACCCTTCAATCTCCCGGACCCAGTGAAAAGGGAGAGAAGCTAAAGGTAGTCTCCCACCATTTCCCCCACACATCTTAGCATTCTGTCAGAAGCGGTTGAAGTTCATCAGACCCTTCCATCAATTATAAAGCATTAGGGACACTGCGGCTGCAGTGGCATCCATTATGAAATAGATATGGTGGCACAGGAATTAAAAATGATTACTAGAGGAACCAGAGAAACGTAGAATATGTGCAATTTGAACTGAATGGACAAAAACAATTTCTGTTCACACTAGACCCAAGTAGTATAAGCAGTCAATGAAAAGGGCAGAAGTTGGCCAGGCATGGTGGCTCACGCTGGGAGGCCGAGGTGGGCAGATCATCTGAGATCAGGAATTTGAGACCAGCCTAGCCAATGTAGTGAAACTCCATCTCTACTAAAAATATAAAAATTAGCCATGTGTGGTGACGTGCACCTGTAATTCCAGCTCCTGGGAGGCTAAGGCACAAGAATTGTTTGAACCTAGGTGGCAGAGGTTGCAGTGAGCCAAGATCACACCACTGCACTCCAGCCTAAGTGATGGAGTGAGACTCTGTCTCAAAAAAAAAAAAAAAAAAGGCCCCAGAAGCTGAGTGATTCTTTTTAATCCATAAAACAGCAAATTTGCAGAGGATTCCTACTTGGTGGGCTAGAAATAACTAATTCATTTAATATAACCATCTATAGTTTATGGTTATGGAAGGCCATCTTTCGATTTTGAGATAAAAGACTCCAAATGAGCAAACTAGAACTAAATTAGAATTTTAAATAAAATTGTCTTTATATCCAAAACATTGCGGATATTTAAATAGCTACAAATGTGCACCTCGTAGAGTTTCTTCCACAAAGCAGTATTTGACGCACCCCTTTTAAAGTTCTTACTTTCTGCACAGGTCCTTAAATAGGCTACGTGGTTATTCAGAAGAACGCCAAAGACACTGTTTCAAGTCTTTCACTTTGACAACAAGCACATTTAGCACAGAAGGCCACAATTACTCTAGAAGTCTTGTTCAGTTAGCAGGATGTGGTGGTTCATGCCTGTAATCCCAGCACTTTGGGAGGCTGAGGCAGGCAGATCATGAGGTCAAGAGATCGAGATCATCCTGGCCAACATGGTGAAACCCTGTCTCTACTAAAAATGCAAAAAATTAGCTGGGCATGGTGGTGTGCACCTGTAGTCCCAGCTACTTGGGAGGCTGACGCAGGAGAATTGCTTAAACCTGGGAGACGGAGGTTGCAGTGAGCCAAGATGGCGCCACTGCACTCCAGCCCGGGCGACAGAGCAAGACACTGTCTCAAAATAAATAAATAAATAAATAAATAATAAAAAGAAGCCTAATTTAGTCTTAAAAGTAAGGAGATTATCTAAAGGTGCATGCACATTTATAGTCCCCAAAAAATTATGTGAACTACTACGTCTTCTCTTCAGGCAGGGGCAAGACGATGTAATAATTTATCATCTGTCTTAATGTTTAGGTCCTTCCTACCTTGTTTCTCTGAAACACAAAAGTAAAAAGACCTCTAGGTTGGTTCTTTGATGTGTTCACATTTTATAACTTAGAGAACAGGATTGTTGGTACAATAGGCCTTCAGCAGTCCTCCAGTTGCAATACTTACCCAGTGGAGCACATCTCCTCACTAGGGGGCTTTTTCAAATGCTTCCCTAGTTTCTGATAAATACAAGCCAAGGGCAGTATGCCTCCTAACTTCTCCCGGTCGACAATTATCACCACAGTGAGCCCCTCTTACAGAGGGGAATGTGACATCTTTCTCAGAGTGTTGGGGAAAGGATTTGAGGACCAGTGGATACTCACCATTTTGGTAGTTTTGGTTGGTGAAGGAGGACCTTAAAAAAAAATGAGCCAAAGTTTAAAACCAGAGGATGCATTCCCAGATCACAAATACTGCTGATGTTTATGATAAAACTAGCTTCAACTTTTAGTAGGCTAGTAAATTCTGTGTCTAACCTCCTATGTAGCAGGTATTATACATATATTATCTCATTTCATTTTTATAACAATCTGAAGGCACAAATGTTATGACCATCTTATAGAGAAGGTAAACTAAGATTCTTTCCTATACCAGAGAACCAGTAAGTGGCAAGGCAGGAGACTGACATCAAACCTGTATGACATGGAACTTTGGTGTCTTTGTTACACTTGTTGAAGCCCTGGCTTACTCTCAAGCACTCACATAGAGATTTCTACCTTACTCGGAGCACATTCCACCATCACTCAGAGAAGAAACCCATATGAATCAAAGAAATGAGAATAAGAAAAAAACTCCCGAAGAAGCTGAAGTGCTCATTTGCCTCAATAGTGAAAAGTAAAATCCAGAGAGATAAAAGAGTAAGTGGTTAAGTTTTATTCTTTAAGATACTAGTCACTTATAAGTATGGATTTAAGAAAGCCTATTAAAATTAAACTTTGTGATTATTCCTTGGAACTGGATTTGTAAATGTCTGGGAGCAGTTCATGTCAGCTGATGACCTTGAAAAATAAAAATTCTATTTCTCTCACATAAGCACTGTGCGGTTTAATTAACATCTACAGACAGATACTAGAGCTTAAGATAAAAGCTTTATGAGCACAAGCTATCATGATTGCCTCTGCAGAACAGATTAGCACACCATCCAACATTTTACTTATCCACAGAGATGCTAGCTCTTTCAAAACATCTTTGGTGCATTACAGAGGTCCAGATGATGCACCATTGGTTGAAAGAGTCAATTTCTATTACTGTCATCAACAGAGAAATGAAATTAACAGGATGTATTTCATTTGAAGTATCACAATGCCGTGACTCTCTCTAATCATTAAAGCCAAGAATCAGATTTTCAAAAGAATACAGAGGGAAATAAATCCATAATGGACATGAACGAAACCACTAATAACTTTTTAAAAACTGCTGGAAAAGATACTGCTTATGGAAACAATCAGACAGAACCTTAAGGAAAATGTGCACTAATTACTAGTTAAGTCTGCTGGGAACACATATTCTAAACTGTAAGGAAGGACAATCAATGGATATAAATGCTTGAACACTGAAACTTTTTCTATGTAGTGCTTTTACTTACCTCCCCTTAAGATAAGCAATGGTACATCGGCACCTACTGGAAACTGCTTTAGCACCTCTACCACTTGGAGATGTGTTAAATTCTGCACATTTTGATGGTAAATTTCCTTAATTATATCTCCTTTCTGAAGGCCTTGACACCACTGACTATCCAGTATCATTTTCACCTTCTGTCCAGTAGGGCTGTCGGCAATTGCAAACCCAAACCCTTTAGGGCCCTTAATCAAAGGGATAGTCACTAGTTCAGGCTGGGAGCTGCCTGACGATGCCATAGATACTCTCTGCTCACTTGTATCTGATGGTCCATTGAGACCATCACCAGTCAAAGTGTGTCCCGATTTTCCATTCTGCTCCAGAACCATTGTTCCTGGCTTAAAATCCTGAGGATTCATGCAAGTCTCTCCCTTGGTTAATGACTGTCCATTGATGACAGGGGTAGCAGCAACAATATCCACGACAGGATCTTCACTGTCATCAGGAAGTGGATAACCACGACATAAAGTGAGGTTTACATACTGATTGACAGGTACCAATTGAAACATCTGGACAACATCTGCATGAGTATGACCGAGGACGCAGTTGCCATTGATGTCTACAATAACATCACCTGGTAAAACATAATCATATTAAAAATATTAAAATCAACAAATAAGTTAAATTTTTGCTTGAGGGGCAAAAATAACTACAATTTAGTAACAAAATTTGAATTTTGGAAACCTCTATTAATTGCTGAAAAGACAGATTTCTAACACAGACATTCTCCCTTTTCTAACTCCTCTCTAAAAAGTATGTATGTCTAAAATCCTACTTTATTTCAGTAGCAAAGAATTTTCACTTCAAGCTCAAGTAAATCATTAAAAAAACCCTGTTAATTTATATTATCATTATTAGTATACCCTCTGAGTCGTATCTAAGTAGCCACGCAAAGCTATGCACATTGTAGCAGGTATTTAGTACAGGAGCAAATAACTCCACTGACTACTTGTACAAACTGTATTATATTTTTTGAATACATTAATTTTTTTATATATGTGTATGTATGTTTGTATGTATGTATATATACATACACTGACAAAGATGCTATCCTTAACCAAACTCTAGACAGGCTCCTCTGAGCTCTTTTTTCAGCAGGCCTCATCCTTGGCATGTCCTCCAGAGCCCAGCTTTAGCAAGAATTCTGCTAAGTTGGTTTAGCCAGAATCACCCAGTCTTGATATATGGTCTAAGCCCTCACTCCCCACCATTCTCCAGGTGATTATCTGATCGCCTCAGCCTGCATTCAGCAAGAATCCTGTCACATCCCTATAATAGCCAGAAATCCTCCTTCAGCCCGATACATACATATATATATATATAATGTTTTAATTTTACTTTAAGTTCCAGGATACAAGTGCAGAATATGTAGATTTGTTACATAGGAATACGTGTGCCATGGTGGTTTGCTGCACCTATCAACCCATCATCTAGGTTTTAAGCCCCACATGCATTAGCTATTTGTCTTAATGCTCTCCCTCTCCTTGTCCCCCAACCCCCAGCTGGCCCTGGTGTTTGTTGTTTGTTGTTCACCTCCCTGTGTCCACGTGTTCTCATTGTTCAACTCCCAGTATGAGAACATGAAGTGTTTGGTTTTCCGTTTCTGTGTTACTTTACTGAGGATGATGGCTTCCAGCTTCATCCATGTCCCTGCAAAGGACATGATCTCATTCCTTTTTATGGCTGCATAGTATTCCATGGTGTATACCACATTTTCCTTATCCAATCTATCATTGATGGGCATTTGGGTTGGTTCCTGTCTTTGCTATTGTAAATAGTGCTGCCAATAAACATACGTATGCATGTGTCTTTACAGTAGAATGACTTATATTCCTTTGGGTATGTACCCAGTAATGGGATTGCTGGGTCAAATGATATTTCTGGTTCTAGATCCTTAAGGAATCACTACACTGTCTTCCACATTCACTGAACTAATTTACACTCCCACCAACAGTGTAAAAGTGTTCCTGTTTCTCCACAGTCTTGCCAGTATCTATTGTTTCTTGACTTTTTAATAATCACCATTCTGACTGGCATGAGATGATATCTCACTGTGGTTTCGATTTGCATTTCTTTAATAATCAGTGATGTTGAGCTTTTTTTCATATGTTCGTTAGCCGCATAAATGCCTTTTTTTGAGAAGAATCTGTTCATATCCTTTGTCCTCTTTTTGACGGGGGTCAAACAGTCTATCTTTAAATACCACCTTATGTCTTGAGTTTAAGAAGCCATTGGCTGGGCGTGGTAGCTCAGGCCAGGCGTGGTGGCTCACATCTGTAATCCCAGCATTTTGGGAGGTCAAGGCAGGCGGATCACCTGAGGTCAGGAATTCGAGACCAGTCTGGCTAACATGGCGAAACCCCATCTCTACTAAAATATTAAAAAATTAGGCCAGATGCGGTGGCTCACGCCTGTAATCCCTGCACTTTGGGAGGCCGAGGCAGGTGGATCACCTGAGGTCAGGAGTTCGAGACCAGCCTGGCCAACATGATGAAACCCTGTCTCTACTAAAAATACAAAAAATTAGCTGCGTGTGGTGGTGCATGCCTATAATCCCAGCTACTCAGAAGGCTGAGGCAGGAGAATAGCTTGAACTCGGGAGGCAGAGGTTGCAGTGAGCCAAGATCACGCCACTGCACTCCAGCCTGGGCAACAAGAGTAAAACTCCATCTCAAAAAAAAAAAAAAAATTAGCCAGGCGTGGTGGCGTGCGCCTGTAATCCCAGCTACTTGGGAGGCTGAGGCAGGAGTATCACTTGAACCCAGGAGGCGGAAGTTGCAATGAGTCGAGATTCTGCCATTGCACTCCAGCCTGGGCGACAAGAGTGAGACTCGGTCTCAAAAAAAAAAAACAAAAAAAAATTAAACAAAACAAAAGCCATTGATTACAATGTACTTTAAAAATTCATTCTACTTTGAGAAATATTGAACTGAAGATTAGAATGATGTTAATTTATGAATGTATTTTCTTATAGTATCCTTTTTTTGCAGCAATTTTGAATTTGATTTATAAATCAGATTTCAAAAGGTGAAACAAGCAACAAAAAATTCAACAGAAGCAAACAATGCATTATTGAAGACACTGAAAAGTCAGCTTAATAAATCCCTCTAAAAGTTGGTTTTGCTTTCCTGATTTTACATTAGTATGAACATTTTGGTTGTAGAATCATTACCACTCGACGGTCATCAGTTGGGTATTTTTTAACACAGTCTTGACTTAAAATTTGACCCCTGTTGTCTCATCAGTTTGCTTTTACTTGAATATGATTATTTAAAAGGTTATTGCCAAATAAAAGTGCTTTAATTTGTTCTGATGGGTTTTAAGAAACTCAATCTGGTATTAAAGCTCCCAGAATTTTCATGGAAATATTGTATTGTCATGCAAATTAGATAAGCATATTAGACAAATATGAAACTATATTTTGAAATCCTGACAGCATACACAATACCTAACACGTGTTTCATGGACAAAATGTTGAAAAGGTCAAAACTGAAGACAAAAGAACCTTACTATTAATTTTAATCTCTAAAGTTTGTTAACTTTATAAAGTAACAAAGTAGAATAAAAATAATTTCCTTTACAAGTATAACTTTTGATTATTTTAAGTTTTCTTGTTTTAAGTTTTTGTTACCTCAGTGGGAAAGCATAATATGAGAGATAAAAAAATACTATGACAATTCAACCATCCGAATGTTGGTCCATATTTTCATGGTATGTGAAATAAGAGAGGATTAGAAAAGTCTAGCAAACACTGAAAAAAGCAACCTCAGTATAATACTAAAATCTTTCTGGAAAACAATGCTTAAACTTCCCCCCGCAATCAGAAATTAGTCTTCAACTTTCTCCAAGTGCCTGAGCCACAAACACTGCCAGCCATATTAAAATATCCAGCAATTACCAAGTAAAGGCTTTAGGAAACTACAGAAAAGACAAGTTTACACAACTTTGTAAAAATGGTAATATTTATGTCTATAATTCTTAACATAGGAGTTCAATTTAATAACCAGTAAGATTAAGGAAGAAAACAAACTTGGGAAAAACTGCAAGATTGAACAATTTGATACCATGATAAATACCACAAATGACCTTTTTTCAAATTAGATTATAGGTAAATGCTAACTCCAAAAGTATCCTTTATAATTCAAGAAAATCAAACAAATAGTTTTCTGAGATGATTAATAAATCTTTAGTTTTATATAGTAAAAGAATTATCTCAAAATTACATAAAATATTTCAAAATATTAATGAACTTAATGTTTTCTCCAACAGTTTTCACCTGTTTGTAAAATGGCCCACCATCAAAGATAATAGGCATTTAGTTTAGAGGATAGATGGTGACAGAGGGCAGAGCAAGGTGGTGGGATAGAAGCCTACACTACTCATCCCCTTGCCCCCACAGAAACACCAAATTTTAACAACTAACTACATACTAAAAGTACTGTTACAAGAGACAAAAAGCAGGTGAGCAATCACAGTGTCTGGTTTGGACTTCGTATCACTGAAAGAGACACTGAAGAGGATAGGAAAGGCAGTCTGGAATTGCCAGTGCTACCCCTCCCCCATCCTCCCTGCAGTGGCGGAGAGAATCTGTATGCTTGGGAGAGGGTGAGCACAGCGATTGTGAGGATTTGCATTGAACTCAGTGCTGCCCTGTCACAGTGGAAAGCAGAACGAGGCTGTAATCAGCTGATATATGCCAACAAAGGGAACATTTGGGCCGGCCCTAGTCAGAGAGGAATTGCCCATCCCAGTGGTTGGAGACTGAGTTCCGGCAAGCCTCTCCACTGGGGGCTGTAGTGCTCTGGGGCCCTGAGTGAAGAGGGGCAGTCTAGGCCACAAGGACTGCAATTCCTAGGCAAGTCCTAGTGCTGAGCTGGGATCAGAGACACCTGACTGCAACCTATGAGACACCTGACTGCAACCTATGAGACACCAGCCAGGGCAGCTAAGGGAGTGCTTATGCCACCTCTCCCTTACCTCCTGGCAGCGGCCACCTGGTATGGAGAAATCTACGTGCTTGGGAAAGGGAGAGTACAGTGGCTAAGGGACTCTTCATTGAACTCAGTGCTGCCCTGTCACAGCAGAGACCTGGCAGATTTCATCACCTGCCTACTCAAGAGCCCCTGGGCCCTGAATAACCAATAACAATACCCAGGTAATAAATACACCACAGACACTGGGCTCTGAGACATGCTGGCTTTAAGCGTGACCCAGCACATTCCCTGCTGTGGTAACTATGGTGAAACATTGCTGCTTGAGAAAAGTAGGGGGAAAGGTAAAGGTGACTCTGTCTTGCAGCTTAGGTACCAGCTCAACCACAGTAGGGTAGACCACCAAGCAGGCTCTTGAGGTCCCTGAGTCCAGGCCTAGGCTCTGGCTCAGCACTTCTGGACCTGGCCTGGATAAGATAAAAGCCCACTGCCCTGAAGGGTGAGTCCCAGGCCTGACAGCACTCATCACAAACTAACTGAAGAGTGGTTGTGCTTTAGGTGAACATTAGCAGTGGCCTGGCAACACCCCCACACCCCCACATAGGCCAGTGTTGGTGGCCACAGGGAGAGGTTCCTCTGTCTG